CGCTGAGAGCCAGGCCAGTTGGCAGGGCCTTAATGTCACGCTAAGGTGTTGGGATGGATGCTGGTGGTGAGAAGGCATCAGGAAGTGTTCTGGGCCAGCGGGACAATGAGCCTAAGGGGTCAGAGGGAGAAGCCTGGGGGCAGCGCTGGGGGCAGAGGGGACGGAGGCAGAGCAGACTGGGTGGGGCTGAGTGTCCCTGGCAGAACAGGCAGAGGAGACACGCCGGTGGTGGGGAAGGACACGTGGACTGGGCTTCAAGCCGCAGACAGAAGCCTGGACTCTGTACTGCACCCTGGGACAGACAGCACTGATCCTTGCAGAGGGGCTATCATTTGGGGGTTTTGCCCTAAACAGGGGGAAGAGTTGGATGGGTGGATGAATGAAACACCTTCCAGGGCTGCCTCTGAAAACAGCATCCTGATGGCAGCTGCCCATCCCCCCACCCATCCGTCCATCAGTACATCCATTCATCCTGGATGCACCTTACGGGCCAAACGGGGAGCCAGTGCCGGGGAACCTGAGGCACAGAAGAGCGCGGCCCCCCGGGAGCCCCAAGCTGAGTGGAGGAAGCAGACAAGTGACCCAAGTTCCTGAGAAAAAGAACTTTTGCCTAAGAAACCTACTCCATGCCACCGAGGCACGTAGTCAACGCTGACAGGCCATCCTCCAGTCCTACCTGGCGTCCCTGCCACCGGGTCCTGGGGACGATCTGTGCGTGTGACCCTGGCTCCCTCACCTCAGTCTCCTTCACAGCAACCCCCACCCCGCTGGGCAGCTTAGGGCAGCGCAGGGGATGCTTCTCTCCCGCTGACCTCAGTGCCTGGGTGGCCCACCCACTCTAGGGCTTTAAATGCCAACCAACCCCCAAGTCTCTGCCTGCAGCCCTGGCCTCTTCCTAGAGCCCCAGACCCAACTTGCCGGCTGCCTCCCTGACACATCCCTCTGGCTGTCTCCCAGCCTCTCAGACTCAGCGGGCCTAAGCCGGGCTTGGTCTTTCCCTCGATCGACACCTCCTCTAGCCATTCCCAACTCCAGGAGGGCCTCCCCAGCTGCCCATATGCTCTTGCCACATACATACATTGATCTGCAACACTTCCCCCCTCTTCCCAGTTCAGATCCATCGCCGGCCACGTCCTCAGCATTCTCACTTCCTTCCACAAGTCCTAGCTACACTCACCTCCCCTGGCCATGGGACAGCCTGCTTTGCTTGGAGCCCAGTGCACCCAGGTTCAATTCTTGGCTCAACTCACCAACTGTGTGATCTTGGGCAAGTCACTCGCTTCTGCCCCACAAGTAAGGGAAGAGCAGCCCAGAACCAGGGGCCTGACCCAGGATGGAAAGAAAGGATCAGGGAGGACTTCCCAGGGGCAGTGATGCTGGCTTTGGGTCTTAAAGGATGAGTGGGAGCTAGCCAGACAAAGGAGTGGGGAGCACTCCTGGCAGAAGGAGCAGCCTGAGCAAAGGCCCAGAGGTGAGCAGCAACACGGCCACGGCATGTGAGGGGCTAACGCGTTCGGTGTGGACTGGGAGACAGGACACGGGGCTGGAGCCATCAGCTGGGGCCAGACCCAGAAGGTCGATTCCTGAATCCTAGGCCTGGAGTCTGGACTTGAAGCAGTGGGTGATGGGACGGAATCTGTGGTTTAGAAAGACCCCTCTGACTGCTGAGTGTAGACAGGACTGGAGAGGCCAGAAGTGGAGGCAGGGAGAGAACACCCCTTAGGAGGCCCTTGGGAATGGAGGTGACAGGCAGGGGTCAAACCTGGGCCAGGCAGGAGAGTGAGCACGGAGGCCTGGCTATTTGGTTGAGCTGGAGGCCAAGGAAGTATGTGCAGGCTGCCACCCGTGGTGTGGCCTGGCAGGTTCCCTGGATAGCAACATGGACACACATGGCCACAGGAACATGCAGACAGACAGCACCAAAGTCAGACACACACGACAGACACAGACCTGTAGCCCCAAACATGGACAGAGGAGGACACAGCAACTCCCATGAGCAGGAACCCACAGCCACCAGGACACAGAGTCCTAGGAGGATGCTGTTCAGGTGGGCGCATGCATACGACCCTCGGTGCAGACCCAGAGGGACGCAGAGAGGGATGCTCAGGGGAGCTGGGATGAACACAAGGGCTTAATCCCCCAAAGAACAAATCCCTCATTGACAGATTTCAACCTGGAATCACAGGCTGCTTACCTAGAGTGTCCTTTCCCACTTGGTGAACTTCTACTCATCCTTCAAGACCCAGCTCAAGTGTTCCCTCTTCTACGGAGCTTTCCCTGAACCCCCAGTCAGTCACTTCCTCTGTGTTCCCAACAGCACCTTGTATATGAGAATAACAATAACAATGATAAAATGGCAGCTACCATTAATTTCCACACCTATTATGTGCCAGGCACTGTGCTGACTGTGTCATATGCATCATGTCACTGAATCTTCCCCGTGACCCTGTGAAATGTACAGTTAACAAAAGAGGAAACAGCAGCTCAGAGAAGTTGACCAACTTGCCCAAAGTCACAGAGCTAGCAAGTGATGGAGTGAGGATGCCTCCCAGCACCACAGGGACAGTCAGACCCTCGCGTGGTACCTGCCTCCCTGGGCAATTTCCCCACCAGGTTACGAGCCCTTCAGGCCAGGGAGGGCTGCTGCTGATGCACCTCTGCCATCCCACATCCAGCCCACGGTGGTCTCAGAAACTCTTGGTAGCATGAAAAAGGATAATAATATCGACTACCGTTTCTTGAGCACTTACAATAGGCCAGGAACTGTGTCAGGGCATTTTACAGCCATTATTTTACTGTTGTAATAGACCCATTATAAGGAAACTGTGGTCCAGAGAGGTTAAGCTACTTGTCTGAGGTCACAGAGCCCAGTGTGGTTTTAAAACCAGGTCTGTCTATCACCCTATCCTAGGAAGGAGGCCTCTGAGGCCTGCCTGGCAACCTGCACAAGGGGGAACTTAGGGTGGGGCACTGCGGAAGGGGTACACCAGGTGCCAGGCCCTGCTGCCCAGGTAGGTTGAGGCCTAGACAAACAGACACAAAGAGGACAGGCAGCCCAGGGTAGAATGCGGCTAGCCTTGCCCACTGCAGGGCAGGGGGATGCGGTTAAGCAACTTAGTCCCACCCCCATCCCCAGCCCATCCCACAGACATTAAAACATGAGAATTGACCAGACCCCGCGGCCACAAAGCAAATGGGAGGGAACAGGACCCAAAACTGTCCGGACACTATGATTACAAAGAGGCAAAAATAAAGACCTGCGTCAGAAAAAGCAAGCAGTGGGAGCCGCGCCCAGAGGGAGGCTGGGCGTGCCGGGGGGAGGCGGCTGGAGCCCATCTGACTCTGTGTCATTGTTTCTCTGATTTCCACATTCTCTGTAATATTGTTCGGTTGCTTTTATATTGAAAACAATAAATTTATTCTTTTAAAAATGAAAGAGAAAGAAAAGAAGAAAAGGAAGGTTGGGGGAGGGGGAACAGATGGAGGGTCTGGCGCATGGAGGAGCCGGGAGAGGTCAAGGTCAGCCAGGTGGACACTCAGTTGACAGTTACAAGCCAGGCCCTGCGCAGCCCCCACGCTCCAGGTACAATGACCTGGGTAGGGGACAGCAAAGGTCAGGAAGGGCCACCTGACAGAGGCAAGAGTCAGTCTGCACTTTGAAGCTGGTTAGGATTCCACCAGGTGGGGAAAGAGAGCCCCCACCCCCTTTCCTGCTGTGGTCCAGGCCCCCTTCAGCTGCTGCGAGAGTTTCCTCAATGTTTCCCCACCTCTGCCCACATTCCATGCTCAGTAGTCACTCTGATATTTCTAAAAATGTAGAATATAAATCCGATCCCCTCAGAACCTCCCATGGCTCCCTACGTCCCCTGGATTCCTTTGTCCTTCCATATCCAGCCCCTGCTGACCTCTTTGGCCTCCCTGGCTGTTCTGCCCCTGCCGGCCTGAGTGTCCCCCAGTGTCCCACTTCCCTTCTCGCTTCCTTCATCTCCCAGCAGGCTGCCTCCTCCCCCTGGAGCCCTCTGCCCTCCCCAGCTCACTGGTTAACTACAACTTATTCCTGGGGCCCCAGATTACAGACTATTTCCTCTTGAAAGCCTTCTGGGACCCTCCACCGCCCAGGCTGTGCTGGGCACCTCTCCTCTCTGCTCCCTCTCTGCCCTGCATTTCCATCGTCAGACACTCATCACTGCGTTTTCTGCCTGTTTGCCCGTCCACCTCGGCTGCTGGGCAGGTTCTCTGCCAGAACAGAGTCACAGCTGAGCCATTTATGATCCCAGCCCCACACTGTACCTGACAAACGTCTGAATGAAGGAATGGTCTGGTGGAGGAACTGAAAGTGTCATGGTTTGGGGAGAGGAAAGTCCCTTCTCCCTCCTCGGGGTCCCTGCCACTCACCCTGGCACGATGTTGTCCCCTGTGTTAGACTGTTTCCTATTTCCTGTAGCTCAGCCCTGTCTTCCTAACTGAGCTGAGAAGGGGTTGTATGCTATAAAGACCAGCAGACCAAAAAGGGTGTTAACAGCTAATAACCACAGAAAATGGTTCTGCTTCCCTGGCAGTGAAAAGTAAATGAGCTTCACAGGTTAAAATAGCAAAAAAAATTATAAGAAAATGTTAATACCCAATGCTGGCGAGCCTGTGGTGACACTGGCACTCCCACTGCTGCTGGGGTGCGAACGGGATCATTTTAAAGCCATCTGGCAATAGTGTGTCACGAGCTCTAAAACCTTTCAGACGTCCTGGCCTAGCAATCCCACTCCTGGTCATCTATCCCTAGAAAATCCCCCAAATTCAGATAAAGTTTTAGACACGAAGCTGTTCGCTTCGGTGGTTTCTTAGAATAGCAAAACCTGGAACATCCGAAATTTTAAACAAGAAGGGGATGGCTCTGTACATCATGTTAAACAGTGACAGAGTCTGCAGTCATTAATAACAGACAGCATTTACTGGCGTTGTAATGACTTACTTAACACTCATATCAACCCGGAAAGGAACTGAGGCACAGACAGATCAGGTAACTTGCCCAACGTCAAACAGTCCGTGTCTGATAGGAACCTAGAAAGTTGGGCTCCAGAGCCCCCAATTTCCCCCATTAGAAATTAGAATTAAAACCATGCTGCAGTCATTCAGAAAATACCTGTGATACAACATCTATATATAAAAACAAACAAACAAACAAAACAAAAAAACTATGTGCGGAGAGAAAACAGGGAAGGAGACACAAAAATGCTAACAGCAGTGGTGTTCAGGCTAATCTGATTTTCCTACAGGATGGTTATGTGACTTTTATTTAAGGAGTATTTTTAATAAAAATAAAGGTTCAGCAAGCTTTGGCCAAGCAGATACCCCAAGCCGCCCACAGCCCCATGAGGATCCTGGCCCTCCTCTCTGGGGCTTTAGAGAGGAGGACCAGGCCAAAGGGAAGCCCGCCCCGGCCACTCACTCTCCTACTGAAATCGCCCCGCTGGTCCCATCACTTTGGGGCACAGCTCAAAACTCCCCCGCATAGCACCCAGGGACCTTTGTCAAGAAGGCCCTGCTGGCCACATATATCCCAACAGGTACCTCCCCCTCTCCAGCCTCACTACCTGCAGGTTCCTCCAAAACTAGCTGCTCTCTTGCGCCACTGGGCCTTTGCACAGGCTGTGCCCTTCCATCTGGGTCATCACCAGCCGAAACCCTGCCAGGTTCCCGTCAACCATTAAGTCAGCTCAGTGTCACTGCTGGGAAAACCTTCCTGATCACCGCCCCTCTCCCCTGAGTTCCCACAGCTGCCTGGGTTTCCCCCTCCAAAGCCCTGACCCCATTGTCTTGGAACTGCCTGGTTACTTGTTTGCCCATGGAGCTGGGAGCTCCCCCAGGGGAGCTTGGGTCTGGCTCTTGGTTACAACCCCACACCCTGACTCGGCCCCACAGCTTACCAGGCTCCTCCTTAAAAGTCACTTTCTGACCTTCTCCCAACAGGAATTGGGCCACCCTGTTACACACCCACTGCCCCCTGCATTCTCCCCACCCGCCTCTGTACCACATCTCTAAATACTCCCTCCAGGCCTGACCCATAAGGATGGAGCCGCCGCTGTAGGCCCAGAGTCAAGTGCTGGCCACACAGTAGGTGCTCAAGTGCCCAGTTCACAGTAGGTGCCTAATAAATGTTCACTGAGAGAATCATTGAGGAAGGGGCCTGTCCACATGGGCCTGGAAGACTGAGAAGTTTGCCAGAAGAGTGAGGGTGGAGAGAGCCTCTGAGCAGAGGGGCAGCTTTTGAGGATGCAGAGGGTTCTCAAACACGCTACTGCTGGGGGTATGGCTGGGCCAGGGGAT